GAGCCCCTTATGGTGACCAATTACCCTCCTGTCCCATTCAGTGCCCATGTGCGTTCTGTATACAAGTTGTGTGACTTGTGTACTTCTGTCCATAGCCACACACACACAATCACGTGGTGGGGGGGGCTTAGCTGGCGTGTACTCCGTATCTGGCCTCTGGATCAGAACTGCCCCTTCGGTTCTGACGCCAAGAAGGATTAACTTGCCTCATCTTGAGCCAGACCAGGCTGGCCCCCTGGAATGGATCAGGGTGGAAAGAGAGATATGCAGGCACCCAGGGTCCTAAGACCGTGAGATACCATAAGAGAAATGGAGAAACACACACACACACACACACACACACACACACACAGCTTGCTTGGAACAGCACTTAGGCAAACTTAATGACTAACCATAAATCACACATGGGTAGTGTATATATTGCCCTAGCGGGAATGGTTAGTTGGAAGTCTCACCTGAGGGGAGGACGCTCTGCCCAGGACCTTCGCTCGGGACTCCAACCAGGCTGTTCATCCAGCCAGAAGGTTGGATGTTGTGAGTTCCCGATTTGATGTATTAACGCTTCTTCTCTCTTTTCTTTGTGTTTCCTATAATTTATACTTCCTTATATCCCCTTTCCCTTAGATTATTAAAGTTTTCCTCTATGAAACTGAAAGTGTGGCTATCGTGAATTACTATTATTCAGAACAATGTGCTAGCCCTCGGGACCCCATCTGGGGACACACAAATGCAGTCTTCCCCAGAATATGTATTCTGAGATTTGGAGACAAGAGTCATGACTGTGTCTTCTCTTCTCTGGGTTCAAGCATCCCAGACCAGTCCCTGTATCTCCTGCACCTGTGTTGCAGCTGGACTGTTAAAACTACACTAAAATATTGCACAAGGAGACCCAGCGCTGTGTTGTGGCCTCAGGACCAGCTGTGTGTGTTTGTTCAGCAATGTTTGCAGAGCGCCCCTTCTCTGCCATGGTGGCATCAGCATGAGCATCATTCTGATGATGTCAGAAATAGACAAGACAACAAGAAATGTGGGGAAATACCCAGAGACGGGAGGCAGAAATACTAGAAGGAGAGACAGTTTCACAGGAAAACGCAAACGTGGACAGCCTGGCGGGCTTGCGATATGGTGCACATCGCAGCTGGAAAAGAAATTCACACAGGGAGGAAGGAAGAGTTTTCTTCACCAGCGCAAGAAAACATTGTGCTTTTAACCCCCTAGCTAATTTGATCTTTGAAGGACAGCATGACAATAAAGCCTGGATAGGTGGACTCAGCAACGTATTAGGGGGGAAAAACAACAACAACCCGGAAGAGATCGTTAGTGACTGGAAGGTAGATTTGAAGAAATTATCCAGAGGGCAGCCTGGGAAGTCACAGAAATGGCGATCAAGGTTTGAATACGTCACAAATACAGAGAACCGACAGGTGGGTGCCAGAGGGGAGGGGGATGGCGGACAGGCAAAATAGGGGAAGGGGATTAAGAGGTACAGGCTTCCAGTTATAAAACAAGTAAGTCACAGGGATGAAAAGTACAGCCTAAGGAAGGAACACAATATTGTAATAATGTTATATGGCGATAGCTGGGGACTACCCTCATCGCAGTGAGCACTGAGTAATGTACAGAATTGTCGAATCACTACGTTGTACACCTGAAACGAATTGTATGTCCGCTCTGCTTCAATAATAAAATTTAAAAAATAAATAAAAGAACGTACAGGAGCGCCTGACTGGCTCAGTGGGTGGAGCACAACCCTTGACTCTTGATCTCAGGGTCGTGAGTTCAAGCTCCACGGTTGGGCATGAAGCCTACTTAAAAAAAAAAAAAAAAAAGAACATACAGATTATAGGGCAAAGGATGCACATCTGTGTATTGAAAATCCTGTAATGAGATCATAGAGAGGGTAGGAGAGGTGATCCACACCTAACCACAGGGCAACACTGAGGTTCAAACAGAAAAAGCAACTGGAAGGAAATGCCTGCTTGTCTCTGAGAAAGAGAGATGAGTGTGCCAAGATTTGACTCTGGCCAAAAACATTAGTCATTAAACATTCACCTTAAATGCTATCTGATGCTATGTGTTAAATAATGCTGACAACACAAAGAACTGTCACCCTAGAACTGAATATTCAATCAAACAACATCTCAAGAGGGGCGCCTGGGTGGCTCAGTCGGTTGGGTGTCTGTCTTCAGCTCGGGTCATGATCTCACGGTTCGTGGATTTGAGCCTCACGTCAGGCTCTGGGTTGGCAGCTGGGAGCCTGGAGCCCGCTTCGGATTCGGTGTCTCCCTCTCTCTCTGTTTCTTCAGCTCCCCTGCTCATGCTCTGTCTGTCTTTCTCAAAAATAAATAAACGTTAAAAAAATTAAAAACGGAACAAAACATCTCAAGAATGAAGATGGGAAAATACTGGCCAGACCAGAAGGATAGGAAAAATACCGTGAAAGGAAAATGACAACCAGGCATGAGAATATCCATAACGCGTGACTATCTGAGAAGACATTTGACTTGTGGGTTAGCTCTGGAACTTGGGACCGCAAAGGCACTGAATTTAAGAGGAAGACAGTTGGAATGAGGTTTCGTTTTGGTGAGAAGAAATAAAAAATGTTTTTAGAGAATTTGTTCAGTTTAAAATGCGTGTCAGAGCGACCACCTGGCTCAGTCAGTAGAGTAAATGACTCTTGATCTTGGGGTCGTGAGTTTGAGCCCTGTGTTGGGCACTGGGCTTACTTAAAAAAAAAAAAAGTTTATTAAAAAAAATTAAATGCATGCTACAATTTTCAGGTCGTTGTAAAAAAACAGAGCATAGATTTCAAAACCAAGAGAGGGAGAGACATAAAAAAAAA